TTACCTGTATTGTTTCATATCAATCTGTTAAATAAAGATTGTATTTTAAAATAGATAGGATGGAGAATTATTAAAATTATGAAAAAGAGCTTGTAACACAGCACTTTCAGTTGGATAAAATGGCCTGAAAAGGGGGTTTGAATCTAGGTTTGAGCCTCTTAACATTTATAGATTTTGAGCTGGATTACTTTTTTTTTTCTTTTATTATTCATATGTGCATACAAGGATTGGTTCATTTCTCCCCACTGCTCCCACCCCCTCCCTTACCACCCACTCCGCCCCCTCCCTCTCCCCCCCCAATACCCAGCAGAAACTATTTTGCCCTTATTTCTAATCTTGTTGTAGAGAGAGTGTAAGCAATAATAGGAAGGAACAAGAGTTTTTGCTGGTTAAGATAAGGATAGCTATACAGGGCATTGACTCACATTGATTTCCTGTGCGTGGGTGTTACCTTCTAGGTTAATTCTTTTTGATCTAACCTTTTCTCTAGTACCTGTTCCCCTTTTCCTATTGGCCTCAGTTGCTTTGAGGTATCTGCTTTAGTTTCTCTGCGTTAAGGGCAACAAATGCTAGCTAGTTTTTTAGGTGTCTTACCTATCCTCACCTCTCCTTTGTGTGCTCTCGCTTTTATCATGTGCTCATAGTCCAATCCCCTTGTTGTGTTTGCCCTTGATCTAATGTCCACATATGAGGGAGAACATACGATTTTTGGTTTTTTGAGCCAGGCTAACCTCACTCAGAATGATGTTCTCCAATTCCATCCATTTACCAGCAAATGATAACATTTCGTTCTTCTTCATGGCTGCATAAAATTCCATTGTGTATAGATACCACATTTTCTTAATCCATTCGTCAGTGGTGGGACATCTTGGCTGTTTCCATAACTTGGCTATTGTGAATAGTGCCGCAATAAACATGGATGTGCAGGTGCCTCTGGAGTAACAGTCTTTTGGGTATATCCCCAAGAGTGGTATTGCTGGATCAAATGGTAGATTGATGTCCATGAGCTGGATTACTTAAGGTACATTACTTTCTCATAAAATAGAGATGCCTGGCTCTCATGTTTATTGTGAGAATAAGTAATCATGATTTGAAAATTGCTAAATGAAAGCTGGGAATATTATTTTCATTGGATAACTTAAGGTGAGAGTTCTTAAAAATTATATATTAAAAAAAAGAGAAGCCAGACATCTTTTGTTTTTTTAGCCATCTTTTACTGGTAATTAAGGGTCTGTGATGTGCCTTTTAAGGGATGAGTTTAAAATTTTATTAATTAATGTAGTAGGAGGTAATTGTAACTAGCTTGACATTCCCTGTGCTTTTCGTAGCAAAATTTGTATAGTAAAATTGGATCTATGAAAAGTAATTTTGTCTTTGGTTTTTCCTTGAAGTAGGGAATTTCAGTGAATTGAGATTTCTGTGTGCTCCTATGCTTCTACAGTAATGCATGGTGCTGTGTTTACCCTGCTTTGTCAATAGAACATTGTGATGTTGAATTATGTTCTTTCTTAATAGACTCTAGTAATTTCAGCAGGCTTAGTTGATGGCTTTTTTCTTAAATATTCTTGATTAAAATATCTGAAAAATAGCAATAATAATTATGACTAATAACATATTCAGTGCCAGGCACTGAGCTGGTACTTTACATGCAGTATTTCAGTTAATTAGCAAAACTACTTCTCAACAGAGGTAATTAAAGTATATTTTTATGCTAATAATGTCACAAAACTGATTTTAAAACTTTTATTTTGTATGTCCTGCCTTGAAAGGTATCATTACTATCTCATAAGCAGGGTACTTACCACTCTGCCTCAGATGTCACTTTTGCTATTTGTGAAATTATTAATATTCTTAATGTAGTGATGATTTTGATTTTTCATACCATTTTCAAGAGTTTTGTTTTTCTTGGCTTTTAAAAATTTGTCCTTTCCAACCTTATTCTAATTTCTTATTTTTATTTTTAAATAGTGTTTCTGTTGCTAGTTCTGATAGTCTAAATTTTAAGCTAGTCTATTTAATTTGAATCTCTTTTTCAAATTATTGTGTTTGACTTTTTAAAAGCTTTAAAAATCTTATTTAATTTTGTTACTTTTTGTAGCATTTCAAATTATTTTTATATATCCTAAGGCTATTTATATTTGCCTGGTTATGAACTTGAATTATATCACTTTCATATTCTCTAATCAATACTTGGTTTTTATTGAATTTTCCCAAGAAGTTAAGAACATTTTAAAATACCAATAGTTTTGGTCTTTTTCCTTAAAAATTTTGCTGATTTTAAATAAAAAGGCCTGCCAAGCTTATTAAATTGTACAGTGCTCAATATAGGATGATAGTGCTATGTCTTCTCAACCTGTCTTGCATTCGTTACCTTTAATATACTGTGTAAGTAAGAGAACCCATCAGCAGTTACTTTTAGTTCTTCTGCAGGGATGAATAAACATCTTGAAATGCTGATTTAGACAATGTTTTAAAAGTGCTATGATGCACTTTGGTGTATGACTGACTCTTGCTTAGTTAAATGTTTTGTAGCATTATAATATAGTTGGATTCAGCTCATCTTTTAAGCAGTTGTCAGAAAAATGTGGGCCAGCATGGTAGAATGTATTAGCTCAATACATTGTCTCCATTTTATTATGAAGCTGCTGAGGAAGCCTTGATATACAGCACTGTCATTACAGATCTATTGTTAGGATGGCTCCACAGTCTTCTTTGCACTGCCATTAATTTATAGCAGTAAACAATATGTAGCCTTCCGACTGCAGCAAAGCAGAATCTTTTAATGAGGTGGATGTTATTACCACAATAAATCAGTGCTTTCATGTAATGTATAATTCAATGTGTGTATTCCCACTGTAACTTCTCTGAGTAAGCTGATAGTGTATCATTGTCATTGCACAGCTCCACTGGTCTTTTTTTTTTTTTTAACCTTCTTGTATTTGGAGACTTCTTTTTTTCATATGCTTGCAAATAAATGTGGTATGTCTTGATAGCTGTCCTAGCAGGCTTCAGAAACCAACTGTAACAATAACAACGAGAATCAATACTGTGGCTTCTACCTACATGGGTCTCTGTATGATGCCTTTTTTCCAGACACTAGTGAAATCAATCCTAATTGGTTTTAGCATTATATTCAAGAAACGTGGTTTTATAACTATTGATTGGAGGGGTACTCATTTGGAGAGTAATAAAAATAGGAGCAGATAAAGTGAACGTTTAATAGCTGCAGAACCATACAAAAGGAGCATTGATTCTATTTTTAATTCATATAATTTGTCTTCCAATGATTTTATTTCTTCTTTCTTCCTTTTTACATAGCTCAGTCTTTTAGAGACAACTAAAATACATTTAAAGGACTTCCACATTGGTTCCACATTTGGTAACAAAGAATTCTTGGAGTCACTTCTATTCTTAACTGGCATAGATTTTGTAAGTCAGATATAATTATTGTGTACAAAAAAATATACATTAAAAGATGGCATTTTACAATTAGTGTACCTTGACACTGATCTAAAATAGCAGTCAACTAAAGATTTTTTATTTGTAAAGTAAAAAAATGACAAAATGTTCAGAACCAAGTTATTAAGAGAATAGTACCATAGATAAATAGTAATTTTGTTTAAAAAAAAGATGTTTAACACTTAAGTTAAGAAAGATAGTCAAAATGTTACTTAAAAATCATATTGCATGAAAAGCAGTTTAAAAATGGTATGAACATTGCTTCATTTTCATTGGACTATCTCTGACTATATCCATTTGAACTAATATTATTTTAGTTCAGCATTTCTCCCGTAAATAATCAGATGTTTTCTTGCTTTTATAAGTGATGCAGGATTAACTTACAGGATTTCATAAGAGATGTTAAGCAAAAGGTAGTTCTATGTCTTAAGGGAAATAATCTTCAATATCTTACCTTTTATTCAGCAAATTGATGCTTACATTTTTGCACAAGGAATAGAGGCTTACTAGAAATTAGACTGTTTTAATAAACTTAATTGTTATTTAAAGCAATTGATCTTAACTTTCTTTGAGCCCTCTACCCCTTGAGAATCTCAAGAATTCTCTGTGTTCTTTACGAAAATGTACTTGTTTGTAATATCCAAATCTTTCTACTATTTAATGGAGTTCATGTATTCTCTGAATAACAGCAGCAGCAACAATAATATTACCAGCTAACATTTATTAAGATTTTATTTTTTGCCTATGCCAGGCAGTGTGCTAGGGGCTTTTTACAGGCAATTATTTTATTTAAACCCTTTTAACTTCACTTCTAAAAGATCATCTTAAAAATAATAACATGTTGGCAGGGACAGTTTATAGGATTTAATGTGCTCACTCATTTTATCTGCCCAAATAACCTTCTGACTGATACTATTTTTCCAGCCAGCCCAGGTTCTTTACCACTTTGGTTGACTATGCTGGGACCTTTGCTTTCATGTTGTTTTCCAGTATGAGCTCAGAATCTGTCTACTGTTCTTATTATGTCATATTTTTTGTGAGTCCCATAACTTCTGATTTTCCTCATGCCAGTAGAAATTTCTAGTTAAATGTTATTCCCGTATCCTTTTGTAGTCTCTTCCTCCCTCTCCATTTAACCTCACCCCACTTTTGTTCCATCCTCTTCTTAGATGCACGTACAAGCCAATCCTTCAGCTTCACAATTCTGTTCTTTCTCATTAACTATGTGGAATTTTAGAGGTACTTTCCAAAGTATTACATAGCTAATACTCACTTCATGTAATTGTTTTTATAGGTTAATTTAAGAAACTGTGTGCAGCAGAAACTAGAGTGACAGGCTTACCCATCCACTTATATGTATATACTTAACCTGTTTTGAAATATAAATGCATTTTTCCATCTATTCTTTGAGCATAATGCTGTGTTTTATAAATAGTATGTATTTTTGAAATTTATTTTCACACTTACTAATAAGATAATCTTAAAGAGAGGAAGAAATAAAGGATGATTACATCTGTATGTGGTTTTTTTCTCATTGGCAGCCAGTAGGAGCTTTGAATCCAAAAAGAGCAGCATTCTTTGCAGAACGTTTTGAATCATGGGAAGATGACCAGGTTCCAAAGTTCCATTATGGCACTCATTACTCAACTGCAAGTTTTGTTCTTGCCTGGCTGCTAAGAATAGTAAGTTCAATTTGAATGATAAACCATGACTAAATAAGTTCAATGTTGGGAAGAACACGTAATGACTAGAAATCATCAACATATTTTTTTAACACTAAAAATCATTTTGAAGGATTGAGGTTCTAAATATTTCTATATATCATTTGGTATGCATTTTATAATATACTGTTATAGAATTGCCTTTAAAAATGTTTGACATGGAATTGTGTGAATTTCTCCTTAAATTTTCCTCTACAAATGGTTGTTGTCTTGCTAGGTTAGCTTAGGTTCTTTTTAAATTTAATCTGTTAGTCTTTAAGAACTAACCAAGATTTCATTAACACAGACATATTTTCATCTATATTAAGCTTCCATTGTGCCAAACAAAGTAAGGTATGTTTATAGAAAAACAGCATTATTATGTACTGATAATACATTTGTTAAACAAGAAATGTTTCTTGAAAATGGAGAGGTGATTCATCTACTAAAAAGTAATTTCTTTGGGAAAGCATGAGCAGCACATCATTAATTAAAGCTTGTTAGAAGGGTATGGGCAGACATAAATCCTAGAAGTAATTTATAGTACTTAGCTAATTCCATGCAATTATACACTAATATGTGTTTAAGTGTTCTTTAACTAAGAGGAGGCTTTTAAATCTTCCAAACATTTTTCTTTTCTTAATCATAAATTAAATATTGAGCCATAACAATAGAAAAATTATAGTCTGTAGTACAGACACTGCCTCTAATTTATGTTGGAACAATATTAATAAACTCTTCTTGGCAAGGAAGAAAGCCTGATGAAAACAGGACAAACACATTTTGAAAATACTTAGAAATATTTCTTGAGAAAAAATTAGTTTAAGAACACTAATGTAATAATTTGACTGCAACTTGCATTCTATACATAGGATATATTATTATCTAATGCCTATTAGTAATTAAAAGTTAGATAAGAATACTTAACAAGGACCGTACTTTTATGTCCAGCAGAACATACAAATTGTGAATTGCTTTGTTTAGTTTTGTATTCTTCTTTACTAGTATATTATTTGTACAAAATAATGGGTTTAATTATGACATTTTCATACATGTATATGATATACTTTGATCATTTTCACCAAAATTGCTTATTTTGTAGGAACCCTTTACAACTTATTTCCTAAATTTGCAAGGAGGGAAATTTGATCATGCAGACAGAACTTTTTCATCAGTTTCCAGAGCCTGGCGAAACAGTCAGCGTGACACATCTGATATCAAGGTAAGGAAAGGTCTCATTTTGCGGTCATTACTGCCACTGTGTTTCTTACTGAATGAATGTTCAACATTTCTTTCCTCAGTACAGTCCTAGTTATTGAAGATAAGCTTCAGAGAACAAGGCCTTCATTAAGTAGCCATGAACCATTGTACAGAAACTTTCTATTTTTCTTCTATATCTGCCTTTGCCTGCCTGTATGTATGTCTTGAATGGCTGTTACCCCCTCCTCTGCACACACTCAAGTTTCTAGTTGTAGAGTGAATTTCTCCCTTTTCCTTGGAATCTTTTTTCTTGAAGGAAAAATACAGTATTATGTATAGATGTAAGGCATATAAAGTAGCATAGTCAGTGGAATTCCAAATGGAATGAATAAAATCACTAAGTTGAGAAAATACTATGAGAAAAGTCACAGGCACATGCATTTATATATCCCATATATGATTATAATAATTATCTTCACTTGTTCTAAATGCATTTCTGACTCTGCTTGGTCTAGGCTTTTTCTGATTACTGCAGGGAAACGAGTTCTGCTATCTATGTGCATGTTCACTGCTATCAAACATCAAAAACTTTATGCAGTAGTTAATATAATCCTTGCTAGACTTTTCTTCTACCCTTAGAAGTATAATAATTTATTTTCTTGGCCTAGTGTCTCTCTCTGCAAAGAACTGTATTATATGTTATTAAAGTATAATGAGATATGTCTATGGTTTTGATGTTTCTTGCATTCTTTTAAAGGAATATGACTTATACATAAATAATTATACCATATGGGAGAAAATAAGTACCACATGAGAAGCTATGGAGTTCAAAAGAGGAAAAGTTGCATTACTAATGTATATGTTACTGTAGAATTCTTTAAAAATTTTCAGTGCAATGTAATTACATCTCACTTTTAGGTGTAATACTTCACAGTTTAGAAATATATTCACTGGTGTGGCACAGTGGCTCAAGTGTTAGTGTGCCTGCCTAGCAAGTATTAAAGCCTTATATTCAGTCCTCAGTACTGCCAAAAAATAAAATGAATATAATTTTTTAAAAATTTCATATACTTTATTTTACATATCATAGATTACATCATTGCTGATATCAGATAACTCTATTGACGAAGATTCCTTTGTATTGCAAAAATCTTTTATATTGTTGATTTCACAATGAACTCTGAAATACCCTTGAAATTGTATATCACACTCTTTTAAGAATCATCAATGGACAATTTTTAAATGGATAGTTAAATAAGAATTGCTAAGAAATGTAATAATTGTTTAATTCTACCTCTAATCTCAAAACTTATTTATTGAGCTCTTAAGTAATAAGAGAAAAGGATATATGAAAACATTGATTAGCTTAACTTTTATCATCACATTGAAGATTTGTAAATTATTTTTTCTTCTTCATCACTGAAATGTGGATGTCTTCAGCTTCTGCCTTTCATGGTTCTAAATATTCTGCTTAATGTCTAGAGGCACACATGATAGATCTTTGGAATTTTTCTTTCTCTTTTTCCTAAATCTCAACCTTTTCCTCTCAAGATTCTTTAATTAGAAGCTGGACATGGTAGCTTATACCTGTGATGTCAGCACTCAGGATTCTAAGGCAGAAGAATCTTGAGTTCCAGGCCAGCCTGGGCTACATGGTGAGACCCTGTCTCAAAAAAAGAAGGATTAATTAACATGTGTCCGGTTCCATTTTCCTGAACACTTCCCTTCAAACACCCCATGTATAAATTAATTAAAATAAAAATAAGTGAAAAGAAAATGAAACAAAATAAGTAGAACATAAAAAGCAGACCATATGGTCTTCTTCACTTTGCTCCTTCCTTATTTTCCTTACTATTCTTGTCTTTTCACAAGTCTATCTCCCTTTTACTTGAATGTCCCAGGAAGCTTTAATAGACTAGCCCTGTTACTAGGCAGATACTAGAATTATAGTCCTGGCCATTGTAAAACTGTTATTTCTCATTTTCTAGCATATTATTTAGGTCATCTGTATGAAGAAGTAGAATACAAGGTTAAAGGGAAAGTTTGGTGAGGTTTTTGGTGATGGTGGGGTTGTTGTTCTTTTTGACATGGGATCTCACCATGTTATCCAGCTTGGCCTCGAACCCCTGGGCTCAAGTGATCCTCCTGCCTCAGCTTCCCAAGTAGCTGGGACTATAGGTCCCAGCTCCTGGATTAAGGGAATAGTTTGTAAAGAGCCAAAAGAACTTAAAACTTGAAATGCAAACATGATTGGAGCCTAATTAGAGATGTTATCTATCTTCTTAAATGTCATTTCATTTCGTTGAGGACTTTTCTGCAGGACTAACTTTGCTGAAACCACTTGTTCTTGTAACCAATATGTATATTCTCTTCCTCCACACTGCGCCCTAAGTGTCCATAGGGTGGAGGTGGGGAAGGACATTGATAAATCACTCCCATGTTCTCTATTGATAACCAATTAATTTGGGCCATACAACTCAATGGCTTTCAAACAGTTAGAAAAGTGTAATTTATGGTTACATAGGCCATTTAAAGAGCTTCCTTACTTGACTCTTCTAACACTGAGGATGGATTGAATCATGCCTCTTTTTTTCTACTGCTTGTTTTTAAGGTGTTAACCTTTTAATATTTTAGAACATACGTTTAAAATTATTATAATACAATGAGACACAATAAATATATAAGAGCACATTAAAATTGCTATGGTAGGCTGGGCACAGTGGTTCACTCGTGTAATCCTAGCTACCCAGGAGGCAGAGATCAGGAAGATTGTGGTAGAAATTTGGCAAGACCTATCTCAAACAATAAGCCAGGTGTCTTCCTAGCTACATGGGAGGTATAAATAGGGGGATTGTGGTCCAAAACAGTCTGGACAATAACCAAAACAGTGTGTTGAGTAACCAAAGTTAAAAGGACTGGAGGCTTAGTTCAAGTGATAGAGAACCTGCCTAGCAACTGTGAGGCCCTGAGTTCAAACCCCTTTACCAGCCCCCCAAAAAAATTAGTATAATAATGTAAACATTCAGATACAGCATTAGATTTCAGGTGGAATCATTTATTAGTTTTGTGTTGTCTTGTTGCAGTTCCTAGAATTACTAAAGAAAAATATTGAGCAGCAGAAAGAGGGTAGCAAAATACAAGATGGGGTGATGGGAATCACTGTATTGGTAGTTTCTAAAGTGTACCTTGCCTGATTAATATGGCACCCATTCTCTAAAATGGTTTTGTGGTATTTCACAAAAAAGGAAATGCTGTGAGGTAGGTAGAAGATTTAGGTGTTTCTATCCAAAAAGAAAAAAAATAACATTTCTAATAGTTGTTATTTTTTTGTTGAAAAGAACTTTAATATCTTAGAATCTGTTTTGCTTATATTCTACCAATACTGAGGATAATTTTACTTTGAAAAAAGTTATTCTTATGGAATACAGGTTAAAATATAAATTCTTTTTATTTCAGAAAAGAAAGAGACCTTACTAGGTTTTGTTGTTAGTATGATTTTACAACTTAAATTTTTGAAGGTAATTTTTTTTGTGTGTGCATCATTGACAATTCCATTTCAGATCTTCTCAATTATGCCTTTTATTCTGCCTGAAGAAACACTTCAAATCAGTTCTTTAAGAGTACGCTTCTGGTAGCACTTTCCAGAAGAAATACAGTAAAGCCACAAATATATGCCACACATATAAAGTTTTCTTATAATCACATTTTAAAAAGTCAGAAGAAACTTATGCAATTTATCACATATATATATATATATATATATGTATGTATGTATGTATGTATAAATCACATACCAAAATGTTTTAACATGCAGTCAATAGAAAATTGTTAGATATTTTACATTCTTTTTTCATACCAAGTCTTCAAGACGTGTTGCGTATCTTTGTGGCATGAGTCCATTCAGACTGGCCACATTTCTGGTGTTCAGTGACTGCTTCTGGCTGGCAGCCACTGTACTGAACCATACGGATTAGGGGCATTTTTTGCAGTCACACATATGGATAGCTTTCTGCTTGGAAAGAGGAATTCTTTCTTCCTCTTTGAGCAGCAGTGTTTGTAATGTATTCTTTAAATGTGAGCTGGCAAATAGTAGCAACAAGATGGAATCTTGAAGACTGAGATACAAAGTGTTAAAATTGGGTTGAAGAGTCATCACTGATATTTTAAATCCCCAGTAGGGGTCTGGGAGTGTGGCTCAGTGCTAGAGCACTTTGCCTAGTATGTAAGTTCACTTGCCTGGCTTCTATCTCCAGTACCACAAAAATGATGATAAGAATAGGAAATAAAATAAAATCTCCAGTAGGTTCTGTTTCAAATCTTAACATTTTTTTAAATTTAGAGACTGAGGGTCAAAACTGATTGCTGTCTTCAACTTTAATCTTGAAGTGCATACAGTCTTGCTGCATTTTGACTCTGTAACTTCTCTCCTGTAGAAATGATTAACAACAGGCTTAGAGTGGGAGGCACCTTACTGTCACCGTGGCTCATTACTTTGGAATGGAGGCAGTAGTAAATGGGTCTAAAATTGAATCAATGGATAAACATATTTTCCCAGAAGCTCAGAATTTAGTGTAGTAATTTATTACTAACGTAGAACCTTACTAAAAGTAAAATTAGAGTAAAATGTTTGGAGCAATCCTGAGATAGCATTCACATTTAAAATTTTTAAGTTTCTCCACTATGAGGCCCTGATGGTGATCGAGTACCAAATGCAGCAGGGCTCTTGCCTTCACCAGACTTCTCACTGGAGGAGAACCTAGTAAGAAAATGAATCCAGCAAATGTGTCTAGCGGATGCTGTGTATGTCACTGACACACATCTGAAATGAAGAGAAGGGCAAGGAAGGAGGGAATCCAGAGCCAATTATCCCAGGCCTTGTGCTTTGTTAAAGAGGGTTGACTCTATTCTGGGGACAGTGGGGCTGGGTTCGAAGCACAGGAGTGACATGAAGAGACTTTGTGCTTTTAAGAGATAACTGTGATTGGTGTTCATATTTATATTACACTATGGACAAGAGTAGAA